AACAGCTACAGCTGAGTAAACAATCATATGTGGCATAACTGTCTGGTAGCCACACAGCTACTTCGTGCAACATACAATATATTAGTTGGTTTTACCTGCCTTTCTTTTTTTTAAAAATACATTAAATTATTTGGTGTTCTGTATAATGTACAGTGGGTGGTTGTCTGTCCTATCCATTGCTGACGAAAGCCGTAAAAATGTTCAACTTGTGCACAATGTGGGTTGTACTTCAAACAGCCTCAGAAATATGGCAACGAGAGACATTCTTTTTTTTTTAAATGGTTAAAACATAGAGAAGAGAAGGGAAAGTATGTGCAGAACTCAAGTCAGTGTGTTGTCCAACATCTTACACATTTTAAAGGAAATGGTCTGAAGTGAACTTTTGTTTGATTTTGAAGGGAGGGAATTTTCTCTGAAACAGTCAGTAGATGATTTGGTGTGTTATGAAAGAGAGAGTTGTCTTAACTTTTGTTGGTCCTCATTCTTTCCATAAGAAATTTCTTTAACACTAAGATATTAATGGGTCCTTTATAATGGGAAAAACTACCTTACTGACAACGGTGAGCTGACCAGTTGGTAAAGTCTATTATGTGATGTGTGTTTTATATATCCTCTACTATGTGATGTGTGTTACCTATATCTTTTATTATCTGGTGTGTTATAAAAAAAATCTGCTATGATGCTGTGTGAGTTATTCAATACCTGCAATTATCCTGTACAAGCACGTTGGAGACATCAGAAAATGTCCTAGTTTTAAAAATGATAAATTCCTGAATGAAAGGAGAGTGTGAGCTGGACCAATAATTTACACAAAATATGTTTAAGAATAATAAAAGAAAAATAATCTGTTCGTCCAAGATTAAATTTAATTTTTGAACATTGAAACAATTAATTTAATCAATAGAAAATTTTGTGTCTATTTGACAAGGTGTTGCATTTAAAAGATTGTTTGAAATATCTGTTCTTACTTTTAACCCACAAACTGTGGTCGGCCGAAAAAATCGGCCGACATTCTCGTTGTGTACTGTGGCGGCCGAAAAAATCGGCTGATAAAAAACATGGTCTGAAAGCGATTTCCAATCCAATATTTAACCGGAATTATAGTCACTTCCTTTTATTAATAGTTAAATCATCTTCCGGTTCAAGCTGTTTCGTGGTAACGGGAAAATAATACTTTTTAATTGGAGTTTTATATCGCTGTTTTTTTAAAAGCTAAAATAAATGACGCTATGGCTGGGCCTCCAGTGCAAGAACTAATAGAAATATGTTTGAAAGCTTATTAGGAGAGGTTTTAAGTGATACTGAAGTAGGCCTACTGAGGCTACTGTTAGACTTGGAGCCAGGCCTGGAGGTTGGGCAAGGACTGACTGAATTTTAGTCACAGAATCTACAGATTATAATTCAGAACTAATAAATTTTATAGTTAAACAAACCAAATCAGTTCCACAGTTCCTTTTTAAATGTTTACTAGTCAATAATAACTATTTTGCCTGAGATTTTGTACTTGGTTTTAGCAGTGGTCCCCAGTTTCTTATATAAAATTGCTTTCAGGTGTTTAATTGCAATCAAAACCTTAGCAAACTATACATTTTCTGAAAGATAAATGAATTTGCTACAACATTTAGATTTGTGTTTTAAGTGTATCTATAAAAATTAATGATGTTATGAGCACTTGAAAGCAAGACATTTTGTCGATTTTTTTTTCCTTGAGAATTCCAAGGTCAAGGACACTGAGCAAAATGGCCAACTTTATCCCCATCCATTTACCTTTCTAAAAATATATACTTATTGGGGTATTGTATCAATATTTCTATGTCATTTAATGCAATTTCAAATGTCACCCAAAATGCTCTGAAAAGCTCCACACCACAGAATAATGCATGCCACAGTTCGTGGGTTAAATATAGTCTGAGCAGAAACTAATATAGCTTTGTCTAGAATAGATTTATTGCCATATTTGTTTTGTGTTTTTTAAAGTCATTTATAGTCCAATAGAATATCAAAGAATAAGGGTTATGTATACATATGCTATATATTTAATGCAAATCTATATCATGATGACACCAACAGCCATAGTAAATTTGCCTCTCCTTTGCTTGATTTATGGAGTTAATGTTTTATATTAATACATTAATGTGTGTGTGTGTTTTAACATATATTATGTCATTCTTAATTAATAAAGATCTATGTGAATTAGGGTAACATATATATATCTCATGATTTTGATGAAGATGGTTCATTAGAAAAATAGACTTTGCAGAAAAAGTGAAATGAAGACAGCAAGTTATCCACAATTGAATTGTGTTTACATTCATTACACAAGCATGGGGGGTGGGGGGGGGTGTGTTTGTTGTTGAATTTAAAAGACATTTAAAAATTGCATGGAATAAACTATCTTTTAATTGTTTTTTCAGTTCAAAAATTAGCAAGATTTTTATTTGAGTTTTTTAATTGCTTAGGTAGGACCAGAGATAATGTCAATTATCTCAGGTGGAGATTTATTTATTGAAAAATTTTCTAAACAATTTCTCATCTCTGAATTAATTTGTGATGTAACTTTCCAGCTATTCAATTAGGCCTATATAATATGGATATTCAATATGGACTTTATAAATGGCTATTCAATTAGCCCTAATAATATGGCTATTCAATTAGCCCTATATATATATATATATATATATATATATATATATATATATATATATATA